CCTCACCATCCCCTCCAACAATTGAGCCAACTTGCTTCACTAAAGCAAATAAATACAAATAATGTAGAGCAACCATGACATACGAAATGGATGCTTTGCTCCACAATGATACATGGTCATTGGTCCCTTATGATCCATCAATGATGGTTTTGAGGTGCAAATGGGTGTTTTGTATTAAAAGAAAATCCATTGGTGCTATTGATTGTTATAAGGCTCGCCTTGTCGCCAAAGGATTCCATCAACTGGAAGGCCACGACTACTCTGAAACTTTCATTCCGGTCGTTAAACCAGCCACAATTCGCATCGTCCTTTCCATGGCAGCAACACATCATTGGTCTTTACACCAATTAGATGTCCAAAATGCTCTCTTGCACGGGGAGCTTCAAGAGCAAGTTTTCATGTCTCAACCATCAGGTTTTACTCATCCTCTTTATCCTAACCACGTATGTCACCTAAAGAAATCCCTCTATGGCATGCGACTTCTTCATTTTCTCGAACATATGGGATTTGCTGCCTCAAAATTAAACACTTTTCTGTTTATTTACAGAGAAAATGGTGTAACAATATATATCTTGGTCTATGTAGATTATATAATAATTACTGGGAGCCACCTCATTTTTGGATTCCATTATTTCTAAGCTCAGGTTTGAATTTTCCATACGTGATTTGGGTCCTTTAAGCTACTTTCTTGGTGTTCAAGTTTCTACAGGTCCAGATGGTATTTTCCTCTCTCAACACCAATATATCAGCAATCTTCTTTCCAAGCCTGGCATGCAACACTGCAAACCTTTAGTAACCCTTATGGTAGTGAATACAAAGCTTCATAGAGAGGACAACCCATTATTTTCTAATGCAACTATGTATTGACATGTTGTCGGCGCATTACAATATGTCACTCTCACACACCCGGACCTTGCATTTGTGGTTAATAAAGTATGTCAATTCATGCACAATCCCACGGAAAATCATTGGGCTGCTGTTAAATGGATACTACGCTACTCACTCAATATCATCACTTTCACATTCCTTGCTCATCTAATTTGCTACTTCAGGCTTTTACTGATTCGGATTGGACAGGCTGCATAGATGATCGCAAATCCACAGGTTTCTATGCAATCTATTTAGGTGTTGCTCTTGTCTCTTGGTCCTCGAAGAAACAACACACTGTCTCTAGGTCCTCCACTGAATTTGAGTACAAAGCTCTTGTTGATGCAGCTGCTGAATTAACTTGGGTCTAATCTTTCTTGTTTGAGTTAGGCGTGTGTCTCCCAAAGGCTCCAATTCTTTGATGGGACAACATTGGTGCGACGTACCTTTCCATTAATCCAATATTTCATGCTCGGACGAAGCACGTTGAAATTGATTTTCATTTTTTTCGTGACAAGGTTGTTCGAATAGTTCTCTTTGTGCAATTCTTATCCTCCAAGGATCAAATTGCGGATGTTTTTACTAAGCCTCTCTCGTCCACCAGGTTTGAGTTCATGCGATCCAAGTTGAATGTGTCTTCTCCACCATTGCTTGAAAGGGGAGTATTGACACATATGATTCCAAAACCAAGTCGGGCACCACTAAGAGACAACTTGCTGAGTATGGATAGTCCTATTACTGTTATACTACTTGAATCCTATTTGGATGATACTGTTGTAGTATTAGAGACATCCAATAGTGTATATATACACATCCTTGTACATAAGTAAACAACGACATAATAATAATAATAATTGAGTTATATCTTTCATGGTTTTATATGGTCTCACTCTTTTGTTGTATTTGTTCCGCATGAAGTTTGTCCATAATGTCTTATCAGTTCTAAATATCCACCACAACTTAGAAAACTTATTAAGCATTGAGGGACTTTAAATAGCCAACTTAAAACACATAATCTGCATAATTTAAAATTTAAAACAACCTAAATATCTCAACAATTCAAACAACCTAACTAAAATTCAAAATTCAAATTCATCTTAAGCTAAACAACTTATTTTACTAAAAGTTATTGCAGTAACTAAAACTAAACTCCAACACCCCTCATTTGCTTTAGTTACTGCAATTGAAAAAATGTTCCTCCTAATTTATGCTTTGGTAGTTGATGCTGGATTCTTTTCATTGTTTTTGAACTTGCAAAATTTATTCTCTTTTCTTTTCTTCCTTTGATTTTGTGCTTCAAAAACACATTCCATGACATTGTCTTGTGTAGAAATTTTTTTGAAAGTGCTTTATTCTGAACTTTTGTAGGATTTGCAAAATATTGTTGTAAAGATTTTTTTTTCCTTCACAACATCACATATCATATAGGGTTCAAAATATGGTTTTACTCTCACATACCAAATTTGATGGTTTTCGTTTGTGAAATTTTTTTGGGGCATTCAAAGAGAGACTGGTGCCTGCCATTATTTTTGGTTTAAAATTGGTTTAGAAAAGTCGTTGCGTTGAAAAAGACATGGGTTGAAAATAGTAGTCCTAACGGGTTAAAATGCATAGCCCTGACAGGTTAGAAAGATTGAAAAATATCCCTTGCGAGTTAAAAGTAGTATGGTAGTTCTTTGGAAGATTTCACAGATTCTGTAAGATCAACGAAGTTCTTGATACCACTGTTGCTATTTTTAAACAATGGGCGGGGTATCAAAAAGAATGATTGAAAATTTCTCTCCATGGATTGAAATAGCTTCAATAACTTTCAATAATTCTTTTAAGCATTGAGGGACTTTAAATAGGCAACTTAAAACACATAATCTGCATAATTTAAAATTTAAAACAACCTAAAATATCTCAACAATTCAAACAACCTAACTAAAATTCAAAATTCAAAATTCAAAATTCAAATTCATCTTAAACTAAACAACTTAGTTTACGAAATGTTACTGCAGTAATGAAAAGCAAACTTCAACAGTTAGGTTGAAAATTGGGAGCTTAGAGAATTCACTATCATAGGAATGCAAGAAATATGTTTTGTTATTTTTCATTTTTTGTTTATTCATTATTCTGAAAGACGGATTTTCAAAACATATTATATATAATATTCTTTTGGTGTCGCATTATATTTCTGTAGTGTTTACTTCCCTATGTAAAAACTAATTATCCCAAGTATGCTTTAGATATTGTTGAAATATTATACTATCAAACTTTCAAAACAATAATTTATATAATGTGAGAACGGTTTCCTTATTGTTTGAGGTTTCTATAAGAAAAAATGGATTTGACTCATCTCTATTACATTTGATCTCTATTTCCTCAACTTGAAATTAGTTAATCAGTATCAAAATATGTGGGGAGATTGATATTGCATACTATAATTAAAAAGTCATTTCCAAATTTAATATTTTAATTATAGTTAAGATGCCTGTTAAATTAATTTATTCTTAACTTTAAAAAATTGTATTAGATAAGTGTCACTCATCTAAACATATACATGGGGAAATGGAGAGAAATTGTAATGGAGAGGAGCCAGATCCAAAAAATATATACTTTATGCTCTTTCACATTTGGGATATAATAAGCTAATAAATGTGCTCTTCCCATATTAAAATGATATAATATATTTCTTGGTATTTTAATTAATCGAAAATAACCAAAACAAATGTAACGATCGGGTTCCATCGTTATAGAAAAGCCAACGGGGGAAAATTTGGGGCCGGAAATCTTTTTCGTAGTATTTGGATTTTTCCCAACCTTGTCCAGATTTGGACGAAATCGGAGTCCTTGAGGTGTAGGGAAATCTGGTAACAATTGGGTGAATAATTTATGATTTTGATTACATGAGTAGTTAGATAACTCGTTAAGGAATCCGTACAACTTTACGGAATTGAGTTCGGGCGAGTAGATCTCCCGGAATCGATCTTAGCGTAAAGGGTATTTTCTGAGTGTCATGGGTTAGAGTTGTGTTGTGAAATGAGAATTTTGGAATTCTTGAATAAGCTCTCTGTCTCGCGTAACCTGCATTGGCGCTGGGTTTTGCTGCTCTGGCGAGGCCGCTACAGTGGGGTGACGGTTGCTGTGGCGGGCTCAACGTGAATTAAAGTCGTTAATAAACCCCCAAACAATCTCATTATAAAATTTTCGACTTTGAGAGCTAAGGAACGAACTCTAGGCGACTCCTACTCATTTTTTACCATTCTTGCGGCTAAAGGTAAGCTTTCCACTCCCCGAATCTATTTTTTGATCCGTAGAACATAATAGAATGAGTGAATATTGATAGGGGAGGGTTTTGTTATAGATTCTATGGTGGAAACAACCTTAGATTGGATAATTGGGATCATGGGTATGATCTAGGGTTCATAAAATTGTTAGTAATTCGGGTAATTAGTGATTGTTTATTGATTCCCGTATTATATTGATTGTTTGTAGACCAAGAACAAGCGGAACAAATCCAAAAAGGGAAGGATCAAGTTTCTTAGGGTTTTAAGCTTGTTTTGAGGTAGGTGATGGTTGTGATTCTATGATTGTGTGATGTATGCTTTTTCTTGCTTCATTATGATACTTGTATATGTATGAATGTTGCAATGTTGTTCACACTTATTGTAAATGAGATTAATGAATGATAATTTACATGAAATCATGACTTAAATGTATGATCTTGATGATATACTTGTGATTGTGATTGTGATTGTGGTGTCTTGATTGGATCGGTTGCCATGTTTCGACATAACTAACTTGGATCGGTTTCCACATTCCGGCATAACTATGGGATCGGTTGCCACGTTCCGGCATAACTATGGGATCCGTTGCCACGTTCCATCATAATTTATGGGATCAGATACCACGTTCTGGTATGCTAACAGTTCAGGTTTGGGTTCCATGAGATGACCAATGATTTGATTTAAATGTGAAGTTGTTCGTTGTTCATAAATATTGATAATACTGTATATGTTGATATATATGCATGTAATTATAATGTTGTCTTGACTTATTTATGTTGCACTAGTGGGATAGCCGCGTAATCCTACCAGTACATTGTGGTTGTGTACTAATACTTCACTTGCTCTTATTTTTGTTGAGTACAGGTCATCTTCAAGCGACTACTGACAGACATTACTTAGGAGATTAGTATCATTCAAACTCAAGGGTGAGACAATTCTTTCGAGCTGCCATGGTATTCTCTTTCGTCTATGTCCACCATTTTCGGACTTAGACATTTCTTTTAGTTAGTTCTTTAGTATGGGGTTGTATCACTTTTTGTTTAGACTTGGTTCATTGTTAGATGTTTTGGTACATTGACTTTCAAGTTTTAGGTTAATTCTTCTGCATTGTTAGTTGTTAGATCTTTAGTTGAAGTTTATGGGAACTTCAGTTTTTAGCTATTGTTTCTGCTTTCATATACTTAAATGCCTTAGTTTTGGTTAGTTTCTTGGTTTGGGTTGTAGTAGTGGTTCTCCCACCGGAGAGTTAGTGTGGGTGCGAATCATGACGGTCTAGGTCATGACAAAGTTGGTATCAGAGCCTAGGTTGGTTGATCTCGATGTACCAAAACGAGTCTAGTAGAGTCTCGCGGAACGGTATGGGGACACCTTTACTTTTCTTCGAGAGGCTATAGGACTTTAGGAAATCTCTCTGTTTTCTCTTGTCTCTTTCGTGCTATAACTTGATTCCAAATGGTATCTGTCGATTCAAATTGGTATCTAACCTCCTTCACTCTTATGTCCGCAGATGGTTAATACTAGATTCAACGGCGTTAGGCCCGTAGCTCCCGTCAATGCTCCAGTTGTGGAATCTGCAGAGAGAGGTCGCGGTAGAGGCATGGGTAGATGAAGAGCTAGGGGTAGAGGTCGTGGAAGAGTAGCACCTGTTGGAAATAGAGATCATGTTGAGAATTCTCCTATGAATGAGAATCCTCATACGTATCTTGAAGAGATAGAGGAAAATGTTGATGTGGAAAATTTGGGACAGAGGGAGAGGTGCAGGCTGAGACTACAGGTGTTCCTCCTTTGGATCCAGTGTTAGCTCAACAGATCATGTCGTTCTTAAAGGGATTGGTTGGTCGTGGAGTGCTTCCTTCTGCTCAACCAACTCAAGCTCCTACTAATTCTCCTATTGCTAGCACTTCTCCCAATGTGGGTGGGACTGGAGGTAATGATGCTTTCTTTCGTCCTTTGTCTGGTTCTGTTATGACTAGTAATGAGCATGAAATGTTGACTAAGTTTCTGAAGCTAAAGCCTCATGTGTTTCTTGGTTCTGAGAATGAGGATGTTTATGAGTTCATTTTGGATTGCTATGAGAGGCTTCATAAACTGGGTATTGTTCATTAGCATGGGGTTGAGTTAGTGTCTTTTCAACTTCAAGGTGAGTCTAAGCAGTGGTAGAGAGCTTATATGGAATGTAAATCTTCTACTTTACCTCCACTTACTTGGACCCAATTTCATGCTCTATTTCTAGAGAAGTATGTGCCTAGGACTTTGAGGGATCCCAAGAATGATGAGTTCATGGCTTTGGAGCAAGGTGGTATGACTGTGGCTGCTTATGAGACCAAGTTCCATGCTTTGTCTAGATATGCTACTCAATTGGTGACTACTGAGGAAGAGAGAATCCGGTTATTTATTAGGGGATTAAATTCTGAGTTGCAAGTATTATATGTTCATATGACTTCTGCAGGGAGAAACTTTAATAAGGTTATAGACTATGTTAAGAAAGTGGAGGGGGTGAGGCGAGACGGTCAAGCTAAGGCATGGGCGAAAAGGGCCAAGAACTCGGGTAACTTACAAGGTTCTTATTCCAAGGGGTTCGGAAGGCCAACGCTTGCATCCAAGCCAATTCAGTCTGCTATGCCCGCCTCTACAGGTAGTTAATCGGAAACTCCATCTCATAATTTTCAAGATAGCCAGGGAGTCGCGCCTTTGACGGTCGATATGCCATCTTTTGATCATACTTGTTACAACTGTGGAGAACCTGGGCATATGAGGAGAAATTGTCCCCACCCACGTGTGTTAGATTCCGCTCAGCAGTAGTATAGAGCAGTGGTACCCGCGGGGAATGGTAATAATGGTAAAGGACGTCAACAATATGGGCGAGGAGGTAATCAGCGAGGCTGTGGAGGTAGAGAAAATGGTAATGCATACAGAGGTAATGTGCAACCATGCAGGGAAGTGGTTCGTCAAGATGATAGGGATCAGTGTTATGCCTTTTCGGCAAGAATAAGGCAGAGGCATTTGACGCGGTGATCACAGGTACTATTCTTGTCTGTGACCGGATAGCGAATGTGTTATTTGATCCTGGTTCTACTTATTCTTATGTATCTGTGTGATTTTCCTTAGAATTTGATATGATTTGTGATATTCTTGATGCCCCTATACGTGTTTCCACCCTAGTTGGAGAGTCAGTCATAGTTACCCACGTCTATCGCGCTTGTCCTATTTTGTTTATGGGTTTTCAGACTTGGGTTGATTTGGTGATTTTGGATATGACTGACTTTGACATAATTTTAGGTATGAATTGGTTGTCCCCCTATTATGCCATACTTAATTGTAATTCTAAGTCCGTAACTCTAAAAATTCCGGGAAGGGAAAAATTAGAGTGGAAAGGGGTGTACAAGCCTAAGCGAACTAAGATCATATCCTCCATTCGGGCTAAGAAATTGATAGGGCAGGGTTGTTTGGCTTATTTGGCTCATATTGGGGATGTTGAGATTGAGGCTCCATCCATTGGGTCTATTCATGTGGTGTCGGAATTTATAAAAGTGTGTCCTAATGATTTGCATGGTATGCCTCCAGATAGAGATATAGATTTTTGCATTGATTTAGAGCCTGGTACGCATTCCATTTCTATCCCTCCACATCGCATGGCTCCGACAGAATTAAGAGAGATTAAGGCTCAAAGCCAAGAGCTTCTTGATAAGGGATTTATTCGTCCTAGTGCTTCCCCATGTGGTGCTCTAGTTTTGTTTGTTAAGATGGTAGTATGAGAACGTGTATAGATTACCGGCAATTGAATAGGGTTACTATTCGAAACAAGTACCCTTTGCCTCAAATAAATGATCTTTTTGACCAATTGCAATGTGAATCGGTTTTCTCTAAGATTGATCTAAGATATGGTTACCATCAATTGAAAATTAGGCCTGAGGATGTCTCCAAGATGGCATTTAGAACTCACTATGGGCACTATGAATTCCTAGTTATGTCGTTCGGTTTGACCAATGCGCCTACAACTTTCTTGACTTTGATTAATGGGGTGTTCAAACCGTTCCTGGATTCGTTTGTTATAGTGTTTATCGATGATATTTTAGTCTATTCGAAAAGTGAGGAAGAGCATACCGACCATCTTCATAGTGTTTTGGGTGTTCTTGGGAAGTAAAAGTTATATGCTAAATTTTCTAAGTGTGAATTTTGATTGAAATCGGTTGCATTTTTGGGGCATGTATTTTCAAAAGAAGGGGTAACGGTAGATCCCAAAAAGATTGAAGTGGTTAAGAATTGGGTTAGGCCTAGCTCTGTGACGGAAGTTAGGAGTTTTGTAGGGCTCGCTAGCTATTATCGTCGATTTGTGAAGAACTTTTCTTCTATCGCCACGCACTTGACTAACTTGACCAAAAGGAGATACCATTTGAATGGACTGAAAATGTTAGGAGAGCTTTCAAAGCTCAAGACTCTTTGACCACTGCACTTATTCTAGCATTACCGGTTGAAGGTAAAGATTTTATTGTTTATTGTGATGCTTCTCATTCTGGGTTGGGTGTTGTGTTGATGCAGGATAAGAATGTTATAGCTTATGCCTCACGTCAATTGAAGGTGCATGAGAGGAATTATCCAACCCATGATTTAGAGTTGGCAGCGGTAGTGTTTACTCTTAAGATATGGTTGCATTACCTTTATGGTGTTAAGTGTGAAGTGTTTACTGATCATCGTAGCTTGCAACATGTGTTCACTCAAAAAGATCTGATTTTGAGATAGCAAAGGTGGATGGAGTTACTTAAAGATTATAATGTGACCATTCAATACCATCCGGGAAAGGCTAATGTGGTGGCAGACACTTTGAGTCGAAAAGCGGTGAGTATGGGTAGTTTAGCTTGCTTGATTGTATCTAAGCGACCTTTGGCTAAGGAAATTCATACCTTAGAGTCTAAGTTCATGCAGTTAGGCATCTCAGAAAGAGGTAGGGTGCTAGCTAGAATTGAGATAAGGGCCACTTTCATTGAAGAGATCAAGGCCAAACAATTTGAGGATGAGAATTTGGAGAAGCTTAGAAAGAAGACTGCGCATGGTAAGGCATAAGACACCACTCTTGATACAGATGGTGTACTCAATTTTAAAGGGAGAATCTGTGTTCCTAGAGTAGATGACTTGATTGAGAAATTGTTGGCGGAGTCTCATGGTTCGCGATATTCTATTCATCCGGGTGTGACCAAAATGTATCTCGATTTGAAGCGAATTTATTGGTGGCCGAGCATGAAGAAAGACATAGCGGAGTCTGTGGCTAAGTGTCAAAATTGTCAACAAGTGAAATATGAACATCAAAGGC